ATGCTGTACAGCTGTACCAGCTGCTCATAGGACATGTTTTCTCTTCTGTTCCACTTCCACCGTCTTGCTGGCTGCTAAGTCAAGGATAGATAACTGGATTTATTTTTTAAGGTATGGAGAAGGAACTCATACATTATCTAGCTAACTAGCTATAAATAATGTTTGTCTTTTGAGAAAATATTTCACTGTATAGTCCACATGCTAGTCTCAAGCTTTTGATTCTCTTGCCTCTGCCTTCCAAGTGTTGGGATTATATGCACCGTCAATCCTAGTTCATATATTACTTCTCCAAATTACCCATCTGCAGACTATTTCTGGTAAGGAATGAAGATTTTAATTCCATTCTATATTGTATAGTTTCTTACATCCTCAACTACAGATTTATTTTTTATGACACGTGGTTTTTTTATGTTTTCCTTTAAAATGTTTGAAGATGTGTGCTCACTTTTCAGAACTGATTTTGAGATGTGACATCCATTCATAAGTGTACATTGGTCTTTTCGATATGTGTATTGTCCTGTTTAACAGCCTCTTTCGGTCAAAAATCAACCATTTTCTGTACCCAGAAGGCTCTGCTGCATTCCCAAGATCAGTCAGCAAGCAGCCTTGAGCCTTCTTCAAACAGAATTACTTTAGCTTATTATTCAACTTTGTGTGAATGGGAGTAAATGTCTGTGTGTGTGTGTGTGTTTGTGTGTGTGTGTGTACATATTGTATATTCTTCCCTGTCTCATATATAATATATAATATGTAACACACACACACATACACACACACACATATATATATAATATGTTGTATCTTTTCTTTAACTGAAACTATGTTTATGAGAAATATTCCTATTGGGCTAGGGAGGGGACTTAGTGACTAAAGCTCCTGCTGCATGAGATCCTGTGTTCAGATCCCCAGTACCCACATAAACCCAGATCCAACAGTATGTATGGGCAGTCTTTGTGCTCGTATGCAAGGAGGGGGCAGGGTGAGACGGGAATCCCTGGAAGCTCATGGGCCAGTGCTGAACATGAGGCCCTGTCTCAAGCAAAACAGAAGGCTAGGACCAATACTCAAATGTTGTCTTGTGACCTTCATGTGTATACTGTGGCTTGTATACTGCCAAGTCCCCCACCCCACCCCACCCCTACACACACAAAGATGTCATTTTTAAAAGGAGAGAAAACAGAAGTTCCATATGGCTGCCATGTAGACTTGTCTTGCATTGTTTGTTCTTTCTATTTAGTTCTGGAGTTTTCCTGAGACTGTTCTCACTGTGTAGCTCAGGCTAACCTAGAATTCATTCTCACT